AATACTTCATTCAGAAGGGTAACGAAAGAGGAGTGGGCTGAAGAAACATTTCCACCTCACTGTGGTGGACTAGTCTATTTTGCATCGCTTTCACTAATCAGACGATTGCTGAGTGCTGCTTATTCGCAACGTTTCTTCTGGGTAACTTATTTTGCTGCAACTTACCAGAATTTCGTTCCAAGCAAATGTTGCTGCTTTGGCCACAGTTATGGAACACAGTGGCAGTTTACTGTAGGGTACCAGCACTAGCAAGCTAATCGTTACGCTCAGGTCAATGATATCTCCTTTTTCAGATTGACGACATCTTCATCACTGGAGTGCTCGCCAAAGCAGCTAATGTCAGTATTGAAGATTTGAAAGGCAAAATCCTTATCCGCTTCACAACGCCCACAAGATCCCGTTTTCGAAAACGGTTTCTTCCTAACGCAAAAGCATTATAGTAGCTATTGGTTCTATGTGATCAATGATAAACTGCTGACGTGATATTTATAGGCTGTATGCAGTCCTTTTAGGGCAGAAGTGGTAGAGTTGTAAGTGGCACAGCTCTCAAGGCGCACAATTTGGGAGTCACTTCAAGGATTGTCTCTCGATGGTGCTAGAAAATCCTACTCTCTTCTTGCCGAAAGACTAGTGTTGCACGTGATTGTGAGGAAAAACACTTTTACGTTGGTCGTCCTCGCAAATAAGTGTGTAGGTTACATTGTATTGAAAATACAGTAATCTGGAATAGGGTCGCACAACTAGCGTAACCCAATCTCAGCACTGCGATAATTTATGGAACTTCAGCGACTGGATTGCATTGTAATGGAAAGGTGAGCGCTCAACGTAGGGTTTCCGATACAGGTGATGGAAACGGAATTTGTTCAGTTACTGAGCGATTCATATTGCGCTGTACTCTTGACTTGTAATTTTATCTAGATGTGCAGATGATGTGGTCGATCTCGTTATGGAATTGTCCACCAGGAGACTCCCATGTCCAGCGTAGAGAGTAGGGCTTCTGGAACTGCGAGTTACCATGGATGGTATGGGTCGACATGATAAACTCAGACAGCCTTTCACCCTGCTCATTCCACTCCGTTCCGTGAGTTCCGATGTGAAGTTCTTCAGCCGTTCTTCTTGGTCCGATCTTAGCGTTGAAATCACCGACGATGACCTTGAAGAAGGTATGATCTTCCTTGTAGAACTTCTCCAATTCCATATAGAACGCTTCGAGCTCATCCTCGTCGTAGCTTGATGTTGGTGCGTAGGCGACGAAGATTGTCAAAGCTGGAGTTGAACCACATCTTCTCCTCTTCTCCATCGCGAACGTCCGATTCGGGTCGTCAGATTTTCGTACGAATCGATGTTCATGGCCAAGTGCGTGTTGACGAGGACGCCCACACCGCCAACGCCTCTGCTGTCGCATGTTCCGAGGAACAGTTCTTCTCCAGTCTCGTATACGGCGTGTAGCGGGCGATGCCTCCTCGTCTCGGTCAGTCCGATGACGTCGTACTTGATCTTCCTGGCTTGCAACATCAGATCTTCGATGTGAGCTTCCGATGCAAGCGTCCGTGCGTTGAAAGTACAGATCGTCATCCTAGTCCTGGGCGACTTAAATCTCCGTTGGCCCTGTGATTCTTGCAGCCTCGCCCGAGCGGTCCCAGCCGACGTCGCCCTGTCGGTGGTTCCCTCAGGTTCAGGGGAATGAGGCCCATAATTATTACTGTTTTCGGCGTGAAGAAATTTGACCACGCGTAGCTCGCCAGGCTCTGACGTGGCACCCTCCGCATTGGTACGGTTTGGAACAGTTCAAACCGTTCACCCCCAGCCACGTTGAGGCTGCGGATAAGATTTGTAGGGGTACAGATCCATGTATAGTATAGGCTTATAGCGAAACCACCACTCCTCCTGCAAACATGAATGTGAAGTCAGGTGTGCAGAACAGCTGGGTACTCTATTCGATCAACAC